ACCCTTCCATTATTCTTTACAAGTTTTGAAGTTGGATCAACTGGGGTACTATATTCTTTTATGTTGAAGTGTTTGAACTTGTTTATCACATTCTCAATGTAATGTGATTGACTTAGGTGATAACCTCCACTAGTCTTTGTAACTTTGATACCTAAAATGGTATCCACTTGACCAAGATTCTTCATCTTGAATGTGGAAAATAGAAACTTTTTTGTTTCTTCTATACCGTCCATATGATTACTCATAATTAATATGTCGTCAACATATAAATATATAGATGTCACATAATCATGATACACTTTAGAATAGAAACATCTATCTATGCTATTATGTTTAAATCCGAATGATGTTATAGCTAAGTCAAACTTCTCTTGCCATTTTTTAGGTGCTTGCTTCAAACCATATAAAGATTTTATTAACTTGCACACATTATGTTCATTTCCAGATAGAATGAACCCTTCGGGTTGCTCCATATAGACCTCCTCATCAAGAATCCTCATTTAAGAATGACGTCTTGACATCCATTTGATGAACATGCAAGTCATATATTGAAGCCAATGCGAATAATATCCTAATTGGTATTATTTTGGCTACCAGTGTATAAGTGTCAAAATAGTCAATTCCTTCCTTTTGTCGATATCCTTTAGCTACTAATCTAGCTTTGAAAATATTTAGAGAGTCATCAATATTATATTTCTTCCTAAATACCCATTTACATCCAATAGGTTTGGATCCCGGCGATAGATCGACAAGTTCCCAAGTTTTATTAGACATTATCGAATCCATTTCATCTTTAATTATATCTTTACAAAAATGCTATCACGAGAATCCATGGTTTCTTTATAGGTTCTAGGGTCGGTTTCCACTTTTAGAACAAAAGGAATTGTTCTTACAATATTAAACTCATTTTTTTCTACTAAGTAAAAGGAGATAAGTTAAGAATCAATTTCATCTGGTCCCAAAAACTTCTCAACTCGAGTTATCTTGTTTTTCATGGTTCACTAGACTCATCAATATCTTTAGAAGACATTTCATCACCAGTTCCACTTGAGCTAGGGATGTTTTCAATATTTTCCTTCAATTCATTATCCGTTGATAACAAATCTTCAAAGAACTCTACATCACTTGATTGATAATCACACTGCTCTCCAAGTTTAGCAATTTATAAGATTTGATATTATTAACATATCCAATAAAAGCACATTTAATACCTCTTGAACCCAATTTGGTCCTATTAGAATTTGTGTTTTTGCAATAAGCAAGACACCTCCACATTTTGAAGTATCCAATGTTCGATTTTCTTCCTTTCCACGATTCATAAGGAGAAACCTTTGTATATTTAGATGGAATCTTATTAAGTATCCTACATGCACTTAATAAAGTTTCACCCCATAAATTAAATAACAATTTTGCATATATAAGCATGGCATTAATGATTTCTACTAAGGTTATATTCTTTCTTTCAGTCAAATCATTTTATTCGAGTGTTCTAGGTGCAGAACATTGGTAAATTATGCCATGTTGTTCACAATATAAATTAAATTCACTAGAAAAGTATTCACCACTTCTATCACTTCTTAGGGTCTTTATTTTCTTTCCTAGATGATTTTCAATTTCATTTTTATACACCTTAAATATGTCAAAAGCTTCATATTTATGTTGCATCAAGTTCACGTATGTATATCTACAAAAATCATCAATAAACGTAATGAAGTATCTATTTTCACATCTAGTTAACATGTCATTTAATTCACATATATCTGTATGAATTAATTCCAAGATATTAGAGCTCCTTTTCACACTTTGATGTCTTTTTAGTCATTTTTTATTCTACACATGTTTTGCATTTATGTTCATTATTTTTATCGTATGAAATCAAATCACATTTTTTTATACGTTTCATATTACTTTTACCAATATGTTTTAATCTAGCATGCCATAATAAAAATAAATCAACAACATAAACAAAATTAGTTTTATTTATTTCCTTGTCAATGGTACAAATTTTGATCATTCTTTTACTAGAATAGCCTTTTTCAACAAATTTTCCATTAAGGAAAAGTACAAGTTTATCGGATTCATACACACATTTGATACCCAATTTTCCTAAGAGATTACCACTTACTAAGTTTTAATTCATATCCGGAACATGTAGTTCATTGGTAAGGGTAACGGTTTTCTCGGAAGTGAAGATGATATCAACATTTTCCTTTCCAATAACCTTGGATTGAACGTCGTTGCCCATTTGAATCTCTTGATCTCCATCTACCTCATGATATGTTTTGAATACAGTTTTTCATATGATACATGTACAGTAGCACAAGTATTATACCACCACCCGAGAACCTTTCCCTTAGTTACATTTATTTTGCTTACGATGGCCATGATCTTATCCTCTTGGATGGAGTTCACTTTACCCTCAAAGTTGTTTTGTTTACGATATCTAAAATCTTTTGCATAATGTCCAGATTTTCCACACACAACACCCTCATTTGGTCTTCTTTTTGGACTTGTTAAAGTTCCTTGAAGGCTTTCTTTTGTTGGATTTTGTTGGCGGTTCAGATTTTTCAACAGCATTGGCTTTGGAAGTTCCCTCAAAGGAGTTTTCACTCTTGTCACACAATCTGGATTCTTTCTCGATTCGAAGATGCTTTTGCAATTGTTCCAAGGAATAATCTTGGGAACTATGCATGATCTTCTTCCGGTATCCTTTCCAAGCCCTTGGGAGTTTAGCAATTATAGCTCCCACTTGAAAGGTCTCCGGGATTTCAATCTTTACCGCCTTTAGTTTGTTGACAATAACTTGCAATTCATGTACTTGGGAGAAGAAGAGGGATATTATCAAGAAATTTAAAGTCGAAGTATTTAGAAATTAGAAACTTCTTGGTACCTTCCTCTTCTACTTTATACTTACTCTCCAATGCTTTCCAGATTTCCTTTGCAGAAATTGTGTTTATATATAAGTCATATAAACGGTCCGACAATGCATTTAGTATGTGACCGCGGCATATCAATTCATCTTCTCGTTGTTTCTGTCTTTCAGCCTTGACTGCCTTGATCTCTCCATTTGTAGGTTTCGGTAGTGGCGCCAATTATGGGTCCAAAATATAGAAGATCTTTAATGTAGTAAGTAGAAATTTCAACTTGCCTTGTCACCGCGTGAAATTTGTACCATTGAACCGATCCAATCGCACCAAGTCTTGATTCATAAGTTTGATGGTTGTTATTGTAGTCTCGTTCTCCATTGCAAAGAAATAACGTTTGGGATTGTTGGAAATAATTTAGAGATGCAGAAGAAACAAAAAGAATATGGCAACAAGATGGATCAAAACAAAATTTATATCAACAAATGTGAAGGCTCGAACGCAGGATCGTTGTACTTAAATGTTATTTACCCCTTCTCTAGTATTTTCGAGATGTTTAAAGGTATTCCGACAAATAGTTTGAAGGATTATAACAAGCCTTGTAAAGAATTTCACCAAAGCACAAGTTGAAATTCTCCAAAACTTGAAGAACACGAAGATATGAATGTAAATCGGGATTTGAATGTTCTTAGAATAAAGTATGGATTGCAAGATATTTTTCTAACATCTTTTCCTCAAACATGGCTCTCCTACATATAGCCATCGACCAGAAGTACGAAATGGTGTCAAAAAATCAAGTGAAAAGTCACCAAATTCAAATTTGCAACGATAAAAAATGGTCGAAATTATGTACCATGGGACTGCATGGTACAAATCCATGCGGTTTGCCCATGCCGAGACCATTTGGTCTCGGCATAAGGCCATGCGACCATTATTTTTTATTTATTTATTTATTTATTGTTGTTGGTTTTGAACAACAAATCACAGCATCTCCAACTCCACGGCACTAGCTACTGCCACTCACCTACTCACATATCAAGCCAACAACTGTTACCAGTGCCACCGTATGGCCCTTCTATTTGTCACCACTACGTCATTTTCCTCATGCATTCACCATTTCGAACAAGCCCATCCCACCCCCACACAAATCAAAGCCATACATGCACAAACAATCACTAAAATTCAAGAAATCTTGAAAATAGGTAGTCAAATCAACAATAGAACTTAGCAAAATGGCAGCCTCAAAAACCCATCACCACTAGATCCATTAACTCGAATAACCCAAAATGCAGACCACACAAAATAATTGCTCCCTTACAGCCCTATCCTGGGAACCACCACATCATAATGTACTAGTGCACCATCGCCACCATGACCAAAATCAAGGATTTACTAAAAAACCAAGAGGGATTTCTTCCACATTGCTTGTACCACCACACTAGCAGATCTTGGAAAAATAAAGAACTTTTGGACCTTGTTGATGATTATTTTGAATCGATGGTATAAATGGGTCAGTAAATGGAATGGTGAGTGGCGATCGTCGGTGCAGTGGAGATAGGTTGAATTTCTAGTTGATTTGGTTGTGGGGTTAAGTGAACTTAAGGTGGAGGGGGAGAAAAGACGATGACCTAATTTTGTTTCTTTTCCATCTTTTTTTTTTTGTTTAATTATTTATTAAAGAAAGTTCAAAGTTACCATTTTACTCTTCTAAAATTGGTTAAAGTCAATTTATTGGGTAAATTAACGGTCAAACTAATAGAAATCATCCAATTGGATCCCATGTGCTAATTTTTAAAAGGTTTGAGCCTGAGGATGATATAAAGTGAAAGTTAAGGTAAAGTCTGTAAAAAAGTGAAAGATTTAGGATGAATGCTGCAATTATCCATGTTACTTATATTATAAATTAATTTATATAATCACGCCATATCTCATCCATCCCATTCAAAACCTAAATCATTCTCTCTTATCTTCCACTCCCTCTCTTCCTTACCTGTCTCTCTACCTTATCCTTACATACGTGCCATCGTAGACCGTCTATCTACTTGCTTTGCAGTAAGCGATGTTCTTCGTTGACAGTGCTTTTCCATATATCTGCTATCTCATACGCCTTTCCCTTAATGGTCGAAGTCACCATAATCAACGTTCTTTGCTGACATCACCTTTCCATGTATCTGCTATCTCCTTCGCCTTTTCCTTAATGGTCGGAGTCACCAGCATCCTCTCCTTCTGCAACACATGATCCATATCACTAGAATCAATGACTCCAATAACATCATTCCCCTCTCTTCTCCTCCATTTCTATCTTTTCTTTCTCTTTATCTTTTCTATTGCGATCTGGTGCGTCGTAGCTGCGACAACGTGGCCATCATCGTTATTTCCCTTTCTTTTCTTTTATTGCTGAGTTTGATTTCTCGGATGATTATGGTGGTTTGTGTGGCCGATGGTTGCTATGGTGGTGTTATTTGTAGTTGTTGTGGTGTGTAGTTGTAGTTTTGCGATTGTGGGAATGTCAGGGACGACATGTGTGGTGGTGGTCGCAAGTGGCCGTGACGACTGCTGCGACGACAGTAGTTTTGGTGATGGTGTTATGTAACCAACTATTTGGTTAATCTATGATTAACTATTTGATTATGTAACAAAGTATTTAATTGTGACTTAAAAAATCAATAATTTGAAACCAATTAATTTGAAAATCTGTAACCGACAAATAAATTGTGACTTATCAAAAATTTTTATTGTGACTATAAAATAATATGTGGTCAATTAATTTAATAATATGAATTTTTGATTGTGACCAATGAAATAAATTGTAACTTATCAAAATTTTTTATTGTGACTATAAAATAATTCGTGACCAATTAATTTGATAAAATATTTTTAATTAATTAATTGATACCTGAATTTTGAATTTGAAATTTAAAACACGGAAATTGAATTGCCCCATACTTAATGCCTAACTTATGAATTTTTTCCTACTTATATTGCATATTAAAATTATTTGCTATATAACCATTTCTTTGTTTATATTTGTTTTGTCGTTTCAAATACTAACTATTAAGTTAATTTTTAGAGTTTTCATTTGCTGCAGTTAATGAATTATGATGAGAATATGCTTAAATAATATTTAAATTCTGTAATGTATGGATCAAATTATTTCATATCTTCATTTTGTTGTAAAATTCTTGTGATATTTCTTTGTACTTTTCAAGTAAGTCGTTTAATTATAATTGGAACTTTTATGTAAGTTAGATCATACTGCAAGCAAATTAAAATTGCAAAATACCAATATTCTCATAATCAAGTGATCGTTGTTGCACGTGATAACATTTGTTGAGTTTAAAAGCTAGTCAAATTTGTTTATATGTAAAATTTTATTTCAAATTACAATTTTTTTTTTTTACTCATAAGTTAAAAAAATTATTTAACTGCATAGTAAAATAAAAGTTATTTTAAAAATAAGTGTTTATATGGTTTGAACTTTCAACAACCAAAAATATAATATTTATAAGTAACCTGAGTGATATTTCTACTTAAAACTTTTCCTATTACTCAACATTATAAGAAATTGACTGAGCAAGTTGGATTTACCCTAAAATTGAAATCTTTGAACCTATTTTGATAGCGTGGTA